AATTCATAGCAGAACAAAATAAAGTGGGGGTGGGGGGGGTAGCCATACAGAATTGTTCAAAAAAAATAGCACTCATGAAAAAGCCTGCAGGAAAATAACAGGAAACTAACCAATGATTACATCAAGCATCTTTAATGAGATGAGCAAAACCACACTGGTTGGGTCTCAAGGACAGTGACATTCGAACAGATGGATTTGCTCACATCAAATGCATCCAGTGGAAGCACGCGGGTCACTTCTCACAAACTATGAACGTAAACAAGGGGGTGACTCTCGAAGGCGCTGCTGAGCTGTACTTCACGAATGCAAGCCCGTGGGGCTATTTCAAACGGGGGAGTGGAGGGGGTCGGGACCACGGGAAAAGCAAGCCCTTCTCGGAGTGACTGATCATCGGGGGTGCCAGCCCGATCTGGACCGGCCCCGTGTGTTCCGTCCCCTGCTACCCTGGCAGGCCCAGAGGCTCTGATCCCAGCAGTGACTGCAAGGCCAGTGTGGACGGGGTGCTGGGGAAGGAGGGGCTGGCGTGGGTCTGTGGCCATGGTAACTGAGATGTAGCAGTGCCCTAGTAAGGACACCAGCCCTTCTCCAAGTCACGTGTGCTTATTATTATGGCTAACGGCCACGGAGGGCCTGGCCCCCAAACACAAACATAACCAGATCATGATGGTTTTCCAGATACAGTTTTTCTTCCAGATGACGTTTTTCACATTAGTATGTACAGAACAGGGGTGTGTGTGTGTGTGTGTGTGTGTGTGTGTGTGTGTGTGTGTTCGTTCACTGTTGGTAATGTCCACCACAGGACATGAGTGCTCAAAGTCACACATCCCCAACGCCTGTGGGCCGCCACCAGCACTAAAAGCTCACCCCATGAAATGCCCCAAGAAGCCTATTTGGTCGCTATTTAAAATAATCTGATGTCTGTTTCCAGGATTCCCCTGAGGAGGCTCTACAAAGTTTGTGAGAAGTTTCCCTCTGGCCCCGTTACATTCCAGGTGGGGGTGGGGTGGGGGGGTGGGGCGGGGGGGGACGCTCACAGTGTGTACAAGAAGCAAAATGGGAGGGGACTGTAGAAGGAAAAAAAATTTTTTTTAAACTGAGTGAAGCAATGAGGACATGAGTCTTTTCCAAGAATTAAAAATGAGAAAAAGAACATTCGTTCAAACAGGCAGCTAGGACAGGCTCAGTGGACACTGAGAGCAGCTGGGGTGGCCCCGACCGGGACTGTGTCCTCTCTCTAGTAATGGTAGCAAACCCCAGTGTGTTATGCCTCTCTTAAGAGCTAGTTGATAAAAATTATGTCTTGTGAAATCGGCAAATAGTCTGCAAAGTGAAATAAGAACAGAAATTAACAGATTAAACTGAAATGAGTCCGGAGGGGGGGGAAGAGAGGAAACAGGGGAGGCCACCAATGAGGATCGTAATTATTTGAGCCCCAGTATTGATCCTGGGGGGGGTCAGGGTGGGGGTGCACGCGGTGGACACCTGGGCCTGGGAAGAAGGAGCCACTTCCATAGTGGCGGGTCGTCCCTCAATCTTTCTAGAAAAGAACCACTCCTCACTCTAACAATTATCCATAGATGTCGAGCCCTCTTTATCGGAGCATCTCATTTAATCGCATCAAACCCTAAAGGTGGGCGGAGGCAGGAACTGGTTCGCCTCAGCTGTGCGGCCCAGGAGAGGAGGTGGGTATTCACAGAGAGGACCTGCGTAGGGGAAACGCCGGGCCCTGTGTCCTGACAGGGGACCCCGGGGATGTGGGCTGTGAGTGAACACCCACAGGATGAAGAACCTTAGCAGCTCTTGGGGGCCTGGGCGTCCTGGTTAGTGCTCACACTGCCCCACTAGGATGGGTCCAGAGAGGGGCTGGGAGGGGTGCGGCGTCCACACACACTGTGAGAGACTGGAGGTGGGACGTGGGTGAAGTGGTACACGGTGAGGACACGGAAAAGAAAGATCACAAAGCAAAACCTCAGGGCAGTCTGGTGGGGACAGCTGTGTGCATGTCACCGGCTCAAAGGACCCCAGGGTGCGGGGGAGAAGTCAACCGGACAGGGAGAGCAGAGGGCAGATTTGGGCCACCCTCTGCTGGGCCGTCCCTCTGCACCCCAACCTCCTCCTCACCAGACCCTCCAAAACACTCCTTATTGGCACGGGGCAAGAGATGGATGTCAGAATGTTCCAAAGCTCCCCTGACTCAGAGACCCTGGCCCAGGCTGGAGGCTCCAGGCAGGGTCAAGTTTGGTTTTTGAAGGGAGCCACCACGTCACGAGCTCTTGACTAGAACACCATGGGGGGCTGCCTGGGGACAGCGGACAGAGGGGCAGCCAGGTCCAGCCACCGGGCCACCCCCTTCCCGGCCTGGGGCTACTCCACACGCTGACCCTCCCCAACGGCACGTGGCCTCACTCTTGTGGCCACTGACAGCCTCTTTGTGGCCATCGGTGAGGACATACAAGAGACCTCCAAGGTGAGAACTGGAAGGATGGGGAATGGAGAATCTGATGGCTGGGGGAGGAGAGAACAGCCACGTCTCACGGGTCAGGGAGCCCCTGTCCAGACATTTTAACGCCCCATTCCTGCCCTAATCAAATCCAGCTGACTGCATTGAGCTGCAGGAGCTAGTGACCGTGACAAACAGGCCCTGGACATGGTCACGCCTAGCCCACGCCAGGTCCCTCACACCCCTGCTCTGTTCCCAAAGCCTTGGCTAAAGGTGAAGGGCTGGGCACAGCAGGGAGACTATCTCATCCTACCCAGCCTTGGTTGGTCACTCTTGCATCTCTGTCTTGCATACATGTCTGCTGAGGACAGATCCTAAAGCACAGATCCCTGAGACAGAGCCCTTAGCATGAATCCATTTTGTCACCCCCCAAATTATTCCATGTTAGGATCCCCCAACTCTCCCTGCCTGGGACTAGTACTGCACCGAGGGGGCAATGGCAACCTGATTGTGAAGGGAGGGAAGCCACACCAGGTGTGCAGAGCGGCATGGTGCTCTCAGCGAGCCAGGACGGGAGCCTATATGTCTTCTTGTACCCTGGTGAGGAAGCCAGGGGAGGGAAGGAGACGAAAGGCTTTCCTAAAACTACCACCAGCTTCTGGGCTGAGGAGGATGGGCAAGAAATGAATAGGGACGATGACATGCCAGGCCTCCCTGGGAGGGACAGTACATATGCATGCATGTATGTGTGTGGACCATGCCCCGCCCACCTCTTTATGCTCCAGAATGGTGCCATCCAACAACTTCTGTAGAAATGTTCTACAGGCTGTGCTAACAGCAGCCACTAGCCACGTGTGGCTGCGAAGTGAAGCGTGGCTAGTGTGACGGAGAAACTGGAATTTTCATTTTACTTCATTTTCATTTAAATCTAAATTATAGTAGCTATGTGTGGTTAGTGGGATCGTCCTGGACAGACGGACGCTAGAGAGAGGAACGTGGGAGTTAAGAGCCAGACCACCTGGGTCTAAATCGTAGCCCTGCTCCTTGCTGCTAACGAGCCCTGGAACAGGGTTTTCTACCTCTCTAGGCCTCGGGGTCCCCATCTGTACATGGGAAAACCTAATGGAGGGGAGGGGCAGACTTCTCTGGTCGTCGCGCCCACTGTCCTGCTTCAAGAGCTCCCCTCCCAGTGCAGACGCTGGCCCCAGGGGACACGCTCATGGGGGAGTCTCCCCCACTCACACTCCCCCATCTGGAATGGCTGCTACTGTACCTGCCTTCCCTACCCCTCACCCCCACAATCGGAAGGGTGCACAGACCCCAGGGACTATCCTGCCCAAACCCCCTGTTTACAGAAGACAGAGATGAGGCCCGAGATACTGGGTGACCTGCTGTGGCCATGGGCAAGAGCCTGGGGCTTCCGTTGATGATGGAGGATCTGTCCCCCACCGGGCATGGCTCTAAGTGCCCCAAACGCTTCCTGGCCTCCTCTGAGTCACCCTTACCCCACCCCAACACTCAGTTGGAGGTGTGCAAATGCTGGGTGAGCCCCTCACGCACCTCTCCCTGGCCCTCCTCCCTGGCTTTAGGACAGGATCCTCTAAGGGCCATGCCTACGCTCCCTGGGCCTCCAAGGCCTCTGGGTCCAGGCAGGATGACCAACCAGGAATGAAACTCTCCTGGAAGCCCAGCTTCCGAGGGAGCCTCCTTCCTCAGCAGAGAACCCAAGAGGACAAAACTCCATTCCTAATGCCTTTTCTAGAAACTCCAGCTGTCCTCTGTACACACACACCCCCAAGCACCCCTGCACCCCGATATACTCTTGTCTATACTCCACGTTTGGGAAAGGCTGGCTCACCCCTTCAGGGGACAAATAAAGCCCCAACAACATTGCTTCCTTCAGCACCCTTCCCCCCACCCCTGTAAGACCATGCCTGCCCTTGCTGCCGCCTCAGGTGGGGGTCCCAGGCCCCCCAGCTACGTGGGAGCTGTGGCAGCCTGGGCACAAAGGCAGGCATTGTTGTGGGCTCTGCCTTGAGTCTCTGACGCCTACACGCGGGGGAGGGTGAATCTACACCCCCCGACCCAGGACAGCAAACCCAAACCCCAACAGCACACCACAGTTACACACAGAAGGGCGTCGAAGCCAGGGCTGCCAGGCAGAGCTGGAGGAGGGGAGGGAGGAAGGCAGGAAGGTAGGTAGGTGGGAGGGAGACGGGGGATGAGGGAAGCAGAGGGTAGGAGTCCAGTCCAGTGAGAGAACCTGTAACAGGCTCCAGACAAAGGAGGGTGGGCAGAGGGAGGGCTCCTGACTCAGCTCTTTCCCTTCCCCCGAAGGCTGCCACTCTCAAATACCCAGTACCGAGGCGGTACTTCGGTTAATCAGACACTGAGCTGCATCCTGCCCCCGGAGTTCAGTGGATTTGAACTTCAGCACCTACAGGTCATTTCCTGAATGCATATGTGTACGAGCTGTGTTCTCTTCAGGGATCCTCCCGCCTCCCCTCCAATGCAGCCCATCTCCCGTGCTTCCAAAGCCCCGGGAGACAAAGACACTCACCTGGGAACTGATAGCCATAGCTAGGAGCAAATCCAGGGTAGCCGCGGCCATAGGTTGCCACGAAGTTGGGGTAGCCTTGAACACAGAGAGAAAGATCACAGGGGCGTTAGTACAGCTGCTGCCTCAGCCCTGGGGTGAAATCCCGGGGAGGGCAGAAGTGAGGACAGCCTGGGTTATTTTCCCGCCAAAATGATTCGTCTCCCGTGAGGGTCTTTACCCAGGGCTCGGGTCCCCTCTCTCCTGTGGCTGGGGGCACTGCTGTCAGCCTGCTGGTAATTAACCTATATTTGGGCAGAGAGACCCCCAAAGCCCACGCACTTTCTGGAACCTGCAGAGTAAATGCCACGCGTTAGCACCAAACAGAGGGCCTGTGCCTGGCTCTGACATTTGGAGAGCTTACTCTGAATGTACTTTACCTTAAAGCTATTGACAGTAGGAGATTAAAGTCCTTGTAATGCCTCCTCCTGAGGCAGCAGACAGAGGTGCCCGCACCAGACAAAGCGGGAGCACTCAGGGCTCAGAGTTGTGGGGCAAAACTCAGGGCTGACCTTACGCTTCTAGAAAACCACTGTGCTTAATGAGCCCTGGCCCAGGGGAGGCAGGGTCCCGGGGAGCCTGCGTCCAAGCACAGGTACTCCACAGGGTGCCAGCATCTTCCCAAGCGCCCCCCCCCCGCACCCACCCCCACCCCCCGACCATGAGGGACTGGTTGGGTTAAAATGTGCTCCAGGAAGCATGGCCCAAACCCAGAAGCCTCACGCCACACATTGTAACTAACGGGTGCTTCACAGCGAGCGTATTTCCCACATGATCTCAACAGATAACCCAGGGGGTGATCTGTTAACCGTGGGCTGCCTGTGGAAATGGCTGCTGGGCTGGGCATGAGGAAACTCTGGCATGTTCTGCTCCTGGTGTGGCCCTCTGTGATCTAGCATGAAACCCCCAGTGAGCAGTCCCTTGGCTCTCAACCCTGCATTGTGCTCGCTCAGGCTACTTCACCATTTATGTCCCTGCCTCTTGGCTCAGGTGACAGAGAAGGCCGGTGTGTAGCCCTCTTGGACCGATTCTGCCAGCCCCAGGGGACCCACGGGTCCCCTCTGCCCCCATCCCACCAGGCTCACGTTGCCTCTGTCCACTCGGTGTGTAGGAGTCCCAGTACATTCATGCTCTTCACATACCTCCACGGTCAACCTCCCGCCACCACCATCACCAACCAGCCAACCACCACCAACAGCTGGACTTTTGCTTTGACCTCCGAGGTGGCTATTTGTGGTTGTTTCTTGGCTTCCCAGTCCCTGAACCCCTTCTCTGAGTTTGAGTCTTAGAGAGAGGCCTGCCTCCCATCCTGGAAGCAGAAGAGGGCCCCCTCCTGCTCTCTCTGAGCCAGGCAGCGGGAAAGCAAGTTGCGAACCTGGGTTTGGCCCAGGGAAGTCCCCCTTGGACCCACTGCTGAGGCTAATGGGGCAGAGGAGGAGACAGTGATTCAGAATTTACTCTGGGGCCTTTAGCATGAGCCCAGCACACAATGGTGGCAACAGGGGACCCCCCTTGACCAGGTCATTCCTAGGTTGTCCCTGGGTCACGGCTGTGGCTGACCACCCACCTCCCCAGTTACTGCCTATTCTCCAGCCTTCTTGGCAACTCTGTGAGCTGACGAGCCCCTTCCAATCATCTCCTTTTTGGTTTGCAGCAGCCAGAGCTGTTTCCGTGGCTTGCCACCAAGATGCTGGTAGAGAGTGGCTTTGATGGGTGGGGTCTGTCAGAGTCTTCCTGCGCTCCAGCCACAAGGGCAGCAGCTCGAGACAGCCACGGACACCCCCCAAATACGGGCTCTGGGGTCTCGTCACCCGCGTCCCAAGTGCACGTGGGTACGCCGCAAGCATTTTCTGACCTGCGGTGAGGGCTAAAGGAAAAGGATCATTCACGCAGTTCCATCTCGGGTGCCCTCGGGCATTGTGCGTTCGCGTTGGCAGGTCTTCCTGCTGCCTGTTCATAGAGCTCATATGCCTTAGAGGCCCAGGGATGGGACCCACCTTTCCTCACCTGCCCATGCATGTTTGTGTCATAGCCTCCTCTTGACCAGTGGATCTGTCATCGGACCGAGAAGAGAGGCTTGCTCTTGTGGGTGTCAGGAGACTTGGGGTCCAGGCTGGCCTCTGTCCCAAGGCCATGACCTTTGGGGGCGGGGGTCTTTATTGTCCTCTGACAGCTTGAGTCTTGCCATCTGTACAAAGCTCTGTGGGTCCCTTACAGCATTCTCGACTGAGACTCCCCGTGGCTCCCTTCCCTTCCTGTTTAGCCAGAGCCTTTCTAAATGTGCAGTCACAACTCACTGGCCGACTGACCCGTTTCCACGTCAAAAGGGGCCTGCGCCTGCTCCTTCCAAGTGCGCTGATCTCCCGGTGCTTGGGGTCTCCCTGGCACAGGGTCGCCCACACAAGCAGGATGACCGCACGGCTTTGCTCTGACTGCCGAGGAGCAGGCTATCCAAGGGTGATGCTCAGCTCTGGCCCCCCAGTGGGGAAAGAAAGGGACAGACGGACGGAGAGGAATGGGGCAAGCCCAAGAGGTCTTAAGTGGACTCACGCACACTGGCTTCTTCCCTGGTATTTATTTCATGGCTGGCCAGCTCAGTTCTCTTCTGAATTAATCACCCGCTCTCAAATCAGATCTTTCATGACTAGATTTCTTAAACCATTATTTCAACACTATTGATAAACGGATTATATGCAAACAGCCAAATCACCGCTGCCTAGGGCCTTTCCTGGTGAAAAATGACTCCTTTGCTTCTAACTTCAGCACTAGGGGTCTGGAATATTTTAATCTGACAGCAGATGTGTAGGCCCATGTGTCACCTTCAAGCCTCCCTCGGGGTGGGTGGGGTGGAGAGGGGGTGGGACGCCCAGCCCCTCCCTGACTCCAGCCACTTTCTTCCTGGCACATGTGACAGTCTTCGATAAGAAGGAAGACAAGCATGGTCGAGTTCACCCCAATTAGGGGCCTCACCCCAATCTTCCTGGACATATAGATATTGTCTCCTGCACAACAAAGACGAGAATTTGGCATCTGCCGGAGTGGGGTATCTGATCTCCAGCCCCCATCACGAACATCCTCTGGGTCAGGCAGATGAAATCATAAATTTATAATACAACATTACTTCAATTTTCCTCTTCATTTACTGTTGTGCAGCCCAGCTCTGCTCGAACTGCTCCAAGCCCCAGCCACACAGGGAAATTGGCTGGCTGCATATCAATAGCACATTACAGCAGACCGATGTGGATGCTCCATCAAGCCATATTACAGCGAGATGACCCAGCCGCCGCTTCCATTAGTAGCTGGGCCCCGCCCGCACTGGCCACTGCCCAATTTATGTGCTCCAGTACTCTGGACGCCTGATCAATCCCACAGTAATTATCTCTTGTCACTAAAGGAAAAACTAAGCCTGCTGCCTGGCTGACCACCTTTCTGGCAGATAGGCTTTCCGTTGTGGAAAAAAAAAAGGGAACTCAGAAATCAACAACTACTCGAATTTGCCAGTCAGATCATTTCAGGGCTCCCTTTTGGGGTTGCTGGCAGAGTTCTCAGAATCGTGGTTCTCGATCTTTGCTCCAACTCTAGGAGATGCTGGCTCTAACCCTGAAAAATGTCTGCATTCTAGGTGGGTGCATGACTCATCCGCTCCCGGGCTCTGTGACTCAGCTACTCAGTCATGGAAAATTGCTCCCACCAGGCCCCAACTTGAAAGGACAAGAGACAAGGGCTGTTTATCCAGGGACCTGCCAGAGTGTGACATATATGCCACGTGGTATGCAGAGCACTGCCCAGGGCGCCATGTTGGCTCCATGAGGGATGCATCCAGGATGCAATACCTAGTGCCCAGAGCCCCTCCCAGGTTGGGATGGGAAGGCCAAAGTCTACCTAGATGCTCGGACCCCAGAGTCATTCTGAGCCGTAGGAGCATCTTTAGGCCTATGCTGTCCAATTTAAATTTAAGTCTAAACTACGATGAAAACCCCAGTTCCTCAGTAGTATGAGCCACATCTTAAATGCTCAGTAGCCACATTAGCTAGTGGCTACCATCTTGGGCAGCGCAGACAGAGGCCCCTTCTACCACCACAGAAAGTTCTGGTGCACTGTGTTGTCCTAGAAGGAAACTGAAGAGCTGAATTTTGAGTTTCCTCTGTCCACCAGGAAACAGCTGAACAAACAGAGACCTCCTTGGCAATGACCTCAACAGGTACTTTGGGGAAAGACAAATCCCCGTTGAAATTACAAATGAGTCTAGACATGCAGCTCTACAATCAGCCCATCTCCTTTTGATCTGTTAGTGCATACCAGCAGATCACAGATCCTCATCTCTTCTAGATGCTGATTTTTTTTTTTTTTTTTAATTTGCTTTCATTTCAGAGGGGTTTAGTGTCAGGAAACACTGGGTCAAGACTTCACAGGGACTTCTCAGTAGGAGCACTGGTAAGAATGCCTCAGGCTTTCTTCAGCTGGTCTACAGAGTCCCACTATTTCCGGGCCTGCAGGGTGAAGCTTTCCTTCAAGGCCTCAGCAGTGAGGTATTTCTCTACCAGTGGTATCAAGCATGTTCAGTAGTGTGTGTCCAGCCGGGTCAAGACAGTTTAGAGGTAGTAGGACTATGTGGCTGGGGGCAGAGTAGGCCAAAAGGACTAAAATATATCAATAATAATCACATTTGCTTTTATTAAGTCCACTTTCATGAAGAAAAACCAGAGAGTCTAGGGCACGAGAGAGCAGCACAAAGTCTGAAGGGCTGCAAAAAGACCTTTCCAAGGGTCTTCGCTGATTTTCGTTTTGTCTAGCTGGAAGGCAGGGAGAGCTGGTCTGAGGAGGCCCCCTCCTCTTCTCTCCTACATTCTTTTTTAAGGAATTCCCAAGTGGGCTGATTATTCTATGACTCTGTCAAAGGCTGTGAAAGCTAAAGCCAAAACAGCTGTAGGTTTCCTCCCAAGGATGGATGCAGCCACATCAAGAGAGATCAAGCAAACATAACTGTGTAACTATACGCTCGCCAGCCTCCCTTTGACGAGACCTCCCCAAAGTATGGAGAAAATCTTAAGGGATATTTAAAAATTAGTTTCACAGTTCCCAAGTCATTTACAGACCAGCGTTATCTGCTGTCTCACTAGAACATCAGCTCCCTGAGATGCTCTGAGGCATCCTCAGCGCCTAGAACAGTGCCTGGCCCTTAGCAGGTGCTTGGGAAATACTTGTGAGAATGAACTGAAAAGCTTTAATGGTGTATAGTCTCACTTCGAAAAACCTGTCCAAGTGTTAGACATTTTTCTGCTCTTCTGACAACAAAAATTTACAGCACTAAACCTTTATTTCATTAATGAACTTTTAACAAACGTTGTTCTGTGCTGAGTTCATCAACCAAACTATGGCTGATGATGATCGCGGTGATGATGTGGACAGGTGATGGGTGATGGTGGCGATTCCAGGACAGATATGCACCACGGACGGGGTGACCCAGGTGACTTGTGGGGACATGTCAGGCCATCCCCATCCTAGCAAAGGATCAGATGCCGCCCGGTGCGACCACTTTAGAGGGAAGAAGCAAGAAGCAAGGGCTTTGGTCTCAGGATAGGAGACGGCACTCTCCTCGCCCAGAGTATCTAGAGGCCCAGGATGCCAGGCTCTGCCAATGCGAGAAGCCGAGGGCAGCGTCAGGAGTCTCCAGGCTGGCTGAGGAGGTGAGAGGCCAGCCAGGCCTTGAGACTGTGTGTTGGGTTCCCTGGGTGCTACGCCCGCTTCACCCCTTCTGCCTGGACCTTGGGCTGAGCTGGTTCCTGGCCGGGGGCATATTTTGGGAGCTCTCAGGAGGCCCGTCTCAGCAGGTGCCTGAAGGGCCTCACCACCATGGCTGGGGACTCAGGAGGCCCGGCGGCTGATGAGGCCTGGAGCCCAGCGCACAGATCACAGAAACTCAAAGATGATCCAACTCCTTGGGCTAGGGGTCTGAACGGAGAAGGCAGCAGATGCCACAGCACAAGCCACACCTTCCTGGCCGCTGGCAGGAAGGGATGCCCCATGGAAGGGTGTTGGGCACTTGCTCGGGCGGGAATGCCTTGGACTTGCACGGCTTACTAAGAAGAGCTCCCAGTTTGAGTATATCCTATTGTGTTTTATTGATCGGAAGACATACATTTTTTTCACATCTTAACGTCTCTGAAAGGAGCTCTATCTCACAGTCATTGTGGTAAGAAAGCCTTGGTCCAGTTTAATCAACAGCATCTGTATCTTTCTTTCTGAATGTTTGTACAAAGAGGCGTTTCACCACCCACAGCACCTTGGATTTGAGGAAATACAGCGCTGGCGAGGCCCGAGATGGTTTCATTGATCCTCAACAACCCCATGAAGTGAGAGTGTCCCACATCCCTATCTAAGGACGGGGTAACTGAAGGACAGAGCTGTTGGCACTTGTCCCAAGTCATGCAGCTCGGGGTGAGGAGTCCAGATCCCCTGGTTCTGAAGTCCCCAAGCCTTCCCCACTGGCTTACATAGCCCCCATGTTGGGGGAAGCTGGCCTGACACCATCAATTCCATCTTAAGGGCTCTCCGAGGACGGGTGACGGCCACCATCACCCGTCACCTGTCCACAGAGGAAAGCCTCTGTGACATGAGTGAGGCTGGCTGGGGTCTGGGGGTTCTGCCTGGTGGCAGTCTCAATAGAGCTACATGGGCCAAAGGCAAAAGCCTTAAGCAGCAGGGGTGTCAGTGGGAGGGGGTGACCTGGGAGAGGTTATCACTCAAGGACTAACAGATTCACCACAACATTTTTAACCAACAATTACTTCTTTACTGCAGCTTAGAGAAGTCATGACTTCAACCATGAGAGACAGGGAAAAAGTGGGGGCAGAGGAGTAAGCACCTGCCATTCATCACATATCCATCCCTCAATAAACAGGAGCCAATCGGATGGCACCTGGAGAAACACACGGACCACATGGGTTTGCCTACCACCAGCCGGGGTCAAAGCCCATCCTGGAGGCTCTGAGCCCAGCACTCCTCCTCACACACGCCCTGCAGGAACCTGGCCCCCTCAGCCAGGCCAGGGGGCTCTCAGTGTTCCCCACTAGGATCCTCGCCTTCCAAGGCTAGTCCTGTCTGGATCACTCTGAGCTTGCTCATCCTTCTTAGCATGGCGAACAGGTCACCTCCGCAGGGAGGTATTCCCTGATTCCTCAGTCTAATTTCCACTCTTCATGATGTGCTCTTAAAGCACCCCCAAACTCTATTATGACTAACTAGCTAGCTGTAGGATTAACTGTTAGCTGTTGTCACACTCACCAGACCGCAAGCTCCAGAGGGCAGGGACCACATCTGCCTTGTCAAGCGCTGTCTCCCCGTGCCAGCCCAGAGCAGGGCACGCACACAGCAGGTGCTCAAAGCCGACTGCTGGTGAGCACCTCCTGCATTCAACAAAGCCTCCCTGCCTTGGCTCCCATTATGAAACCACTGGGTGCCCTCTGTTCAGGAATCTGAGCTTGGGTGTCTGTAGAGATGTGGGCCCCCGGCCCTTGCTTGCAGTCTGGGGCAAACAGAACTGCTGCACCTTTGCTCTCTGGCAACTGACATGAATGAGCTGGCTTCGCTGTATACCTCTGCTTCCCCCTGAAGAAAACAGGTCATTCCTCCCAGCCTGCCAAGGGCATCAAGTTAGACTCCGAAAGGCAGCGGCACTTCCTGAAGATCTGATCCTAAGAAGGTTCCCATTTTATGCCCCAGGGCCTTCATACTCACCGTTTAAAATTCAAGACTCCAAAAACCAGCAGGAGGCAACTCTTTTAAGATTTGATTTTAGAATTTACAACTATTAATTAATTTGGAACTTCTCTTGGTATACACTGTATGGTAAAGACCACATACAAAATTACTTTTGAAGCAAGGGGTAGACAAGTGTCTCATAGTCAATCAGGAGATAATTCCCACTGATTTTTATTTATTTTATTTTATTAGAGAGAGCATGAGCAGGGGTGGGGGGAGGGGGAGAGGGAGAGAGAGAATCTCAAGCAGGCTCCACGCTCAGTGCAGAGCCCGACGCAGGGCTCGATCTCACGACCCTGAGATCATGACCTAAGCCAAAATTAAGAGTCGGACACCCTCCCACTGATTTTTAAAAGTAACTTCTTTATAATAATTACACTCTTACACAGAAATACGTTTAGTTTAGGTGCTTTCACTTTTTTTCTCAACAGGTGCATTCCTATATACCACACTATTTCATTACTGTAGCTTTGTGCCGTGTTCTGCTATCTGGTCAAACTAGTCTTTTCTCCTTTCTCTTTTGAAAACATTTTCTTATCTATTCTCATGTGTTTCTGCTTCCAGATCAGCGTTAGAATCATTTGGCCAATGCTTAAAGAAGTAAATAGGAATTTCCAATGAAACTCAATTAGACCTAAAACATTAATTCGAGAAGAAGTAATATTTCTGCTACTTTTAGGATTCTCGTGGCATCTCTTTCCATTTCTCAAAGTTCCTCAAACTAACTTTACTGGCCCTTGTTATTTCCTCAGACAAAATAGATACAATTCTTTTTAAGAATGTGTAACACCAAGAAAAGTTTCATACATTTCAAATGGAGCCAGGAATGATTTAAAGAACTGCGAATCTGAAAATACATAAAGAGCTGATCAAACAATATAGAAGGGGGACTCATCGCCAAACCGAATGAAAATCCATTAAAACCAGACAGATCATGTGCCTGAATGGAATTTTACCATTAACTACCATTTATCCCATTTAATTAGTATTTTCCCGACACACAATAACTCGCACTAAAATACCGCTCTCTCGCCTTGAAATTTCTAATTATTGTTGCGACCCACACCATTACGCCTCTTCTCTGCTTTCTCCATTTTTCATGCCATTTCAGTGGCAAGATTTTCAATTATCTACGTGGGATGGACAGAGATACCTTTAAGGAAGGGGCATAATATGCAACTTAATTTCTCTAAAAGCCAGGAGAGATCATTTTTCGTCAGAACAAAACACACTTTGTCTTTCATCATCATTTTTTTTTTTTTTGGCAAATAAAGAGTAAAACAGGCCATTTAAAACATCCATTTAAATGCAAATTCTGATATCCCGAGAGAAAAATGTTAATCATTTAAATAGACAGGATTATAGCCCACCCTCTTCACTTCCTCTCCTCTCCCAAGTTTTAGAAAATGGAGCCTCAGCCCACAAGGGTGAAGCTAGTCAGGAGTCCTCAGGTTTTTCAGAACACCCTGCCAGTAGAGAGGTGTGAGGCAGAGGGCTGCCTTTTTCTCCTTCCAAAGAAGGGAGTGGAGAGGAGATAAAATAATATCAAGTACCCCTATGAGCCAGGCATGGGACAAGATGATTATCTATCTATCTATCTATCTATCTATCTATCTATCTATCTATCTATCTATGTATCATCTATCTATCTTTGTAATGGTCACAACTACCTTGCAAAGGGGCTTATCATCTGAGACTCAGAAAGGCAGTTTGCCCAACTGGTAGGTGACCCAGTTGGGTGTCTAAGCCTCCGTAGCCCCCAGTGCATGGTAGCTCTGCAGTGTCCCCAGGGTCCCACCCGGACTCACCTAGCATTCCCATGCCAAGCATGAACGCGTCCATGGTGTAAGGCAGTCCCCGGGCCCGGCCTCTTGTCCCCGGTGGGAACATGACTTCCTTAGGCTGAGCTTTCTTACATTCTACCTGTTCAACAGAAAGGCGAACAAATGAGATGCAAATGAATGCCACGTAAATGTCAAATGCAGAACTGATCTGGTTACCCGCGAAGGTATTTTTAGCCTTGCTCCTTATTCACTGTAAATATAGCCATGCCAAGCAAATGGCCTGCAAAACAAATATTTAAGAAAACACGCCATTTGTTGCAAATCCTGCTCTGGAAAAACCGACAAGGATGAAATTGGGTTTGGAGGGGTGACAAGGACGTGGGCTGAAGACACACGTGCTTGGGTCGGGAGCTCAGACTGGAGCGTGCGCAGAAGGCCTGGGAGGTGAGGAGGCAGATGGGGCTGCCGGGTGTGTCTGTGAAGAAAAATAACAGCAGTAGTAATAATCCCTCCTGCTCGTTTGGTCCCTTACAGGTTTACAAATGCCTTTGCGCCCCTGACTCTTCACATCAGGCCACCTGATTCCATTTCTTATTAAACAGACAGGCCAGTTAGCTTTAGCTCCATTTCACAGATGACAAAACTGAACGTCAGAAGGCGTGTGTAATGTGCCGTAAGCCACAGCCCAGCAGGGGCAGGCCTGGAAGCCAGAGTTTTCAAATCTCTAGCTCAGCGATGCCATGGTCTCCAGAAAAGCCACCCCAGCAGGCTCCCGGGAGAAGTAATAACATTAAACACTGCTTCTGTCCATCTGGATTACCGGTTTCTCGTTCTGCAGCTACGTCTTCGAGTGGTTGCTAATCTTTCCTGTTTCCCTTCTGCCTCCTAAATTTCTTAATCCTATTCTGCTCACACAACCCATAAGTCACTTACTTCCCAGCCTTAATGATAGGTAATACAAGCTCCAGGAAAGAAGTAAAACTGTTGCCCTCGACAGTGCCTACACCATTCTTAGGAGCATGTGTCTCACACCCCTGCTCGGTGCTTACTTGCTTTTAGTTTACAGATAAACCTAACATAGCGTTGGCTGGTAATCCGCCCCATCGCTGATGGAGATAGGATGCCGTGGGGCAGGGCAGGAGTGCTTATGGTTGCAAAAAGTATCAGCATGACAGTCAGATAGATAGTGAGGTGGGAAGGGCAAGAATGAGGTCCCCGTATTTAAAAAGGGGCCATGTGGTTTAGGAGTCAAAACTCCACGTAGTTCAACCACTGCCGAGGGTCTCACTATCACATGGAAAATTACTATTATTCCCAGGGTATCTGAGATAGGAAGAAGTTAAATTGTGTGCCTTATACTTTGTTTTAAAGGGACCTACATGGGCTATCCATTTTGGAGACATGGATACCTCTCAAATCTTCTCATCCCAAATCTTCAATTAAAAAAAATATGTTAGGGGCACCCAGGTGGCTCAGTCGGTTAAGCAGCCGACTTTTGATCTCAGCTCAGGTCTTGATCTCAGGGTCGTGAGTTCAGGCCCCGTGTTGGGGCTTAGTGCTTAAGGCTTGAGGGAAGCTTTAACTACCTAAAACATTAACTACTCTTCCTTCAGAGACACCAGGTAGCAGGTGTTACTTGCTCTTGCTCTTTAAAGAACCACACATGCTTTAAAAACATGGACAAAATGGCTCAAAGTTCATGCCTGATAAGCGTAATACAAAGTTTTTATAGGTTATAAAAGAAAGAGACGAGCATACTGAAGTGAAAATGGGTGAAGGACATGAACAAGCAATTCACAAATGACTAATAATGACACGTATCTTTTCTATCACACGTCATGTATGACATCCTCAAACGAGACATACTGTCACCTATCAGATTGACCACAACGACAGGATTCCTTGATGTCAGAATCTCTGAGAGTACGGGGAGGATGGGTGGGAGTTTGTGCATATTTTTTGGGAGGGCAACCCAAAAACTTTCAAAAGCCATCCAAGTATACATCATTTGACCTAATAATGCTACTTGCAGGAGTTTATCCTGCACGGACATATGGATAAGGCTACTGTGGTGACAAACGTTAATTATGATTTTTTTTTTTTTAAAAGGAAATATCCTAAGTGTCCAAGAACAGGGAGTTAGTTAGCCAGGTTTGGTTCACCCAGGCTTACTGAAAGCTGTGAAGCTTCAGAAAAGCATGCTGATAATAAGATGCAATGGTATTGGGAAACCCTCAGTCCTGGGCAAACCAGGGTGGTTGGTCACCCTAAATGTAAGGGTGAGAAAAGCAAATTACAGTGACTCTGTGGAAAAATAAGTGTATATGCATACCAAACAAGGGGAAAATATTAAAAAGACATACCAAAGTCGCTTTAGAGTGACTTTGTTCTTTCATTTCCATGGTGCATTTTGTTACTGGTGTTTATTTGCCAAATTTTCTGCTCTGAGTATTACTGCTGCAAACAGTAGTAGGGAAAGGTGATTAAAAAGAAAGAAATTCATGAGAATTGGCTCTTTCAGATTTCTCTCCCAGGCCGGGGGTGACAGTTTGCTCCTAGATGCTATCCCTGGGACTCAGAAGCAGGCTGGGAAAGCTCATTTGCAGGAGCCTGTCTGAGCCTGGGAAGATGGGTGAGCTCTGCGGAGGCAGACAGATCATTACCTGACGCCAACACCGGGATCTGGAATAATACCGCTAACCAGCTCACTTCCTAATGGCCCTATCGCTGACAATCTACTGCATTGTCTTATGAAAACCTGCCGCCTGTTCCTAGGCAACCTGATCAACGAAAATTTCAGGTTTATACAGTCTTCATTTAGGGAACATAAAGGTTAACTGACTGTAATGGGAGTATTTTAAACAAACCCACCTACTCTTCCTCTCACTGAATAGGGCTAGCAGCTCCGTTTAATTCTGCTCTGTCTTCGCTGGTGCTGTTTTGGGCAGCACCCACTGCGCGGGTTCTGTCACCTGCCCGCTGTGTCAACTGTGAGTGCTCCCCGAGGCCAGGGGCTGTGGCACATGCACTCTTGGGGGGGATCCCCACGTCCTGGGCACTTGAGTGACGGGGAAAGGTAGCCACCGCACCAGGGAGCCTTGGCCTGGCCTGCACTGAAGGCTTCTCGAAAGATCTCTCAGAACCAAGAGGCCTGCCCACCCAGCCCCCAGCTCATTTGAAAACACACAAAAGGGGAAAGAAGAAGAGCTAATCTCTGTTCCTATCCTGAGTCCTTGCAGGGGGTCAGGGGCTTCCTGAGCGTGAAAACTACTCCCCCCTCCCCACCCCCACCAAGACTGGCAGAAGCCTCCCCTCCCCCATCAGACTGTGAGTTCTCAGGACAGGGATCAGGGTTTGCCCCTACTTCCCTGGTTCCTTATGACACCCCGTACAGAGCATGGACTGACGCACATGCTCATCAGGGTCGTGGAGACCCAGTCTTCTTAACCCAACAAAGCTGAGGGACTCCACATGCCCGGCAAGGGCTAGGCTGTGGGGGATGCAGACATAAGTAAGGCCAGCCTCCACCTCGAGAGCTCTCATTCTGTTGAAAGGAACAGGTTCTGTCTTGTTCTCCTAACATGACGGCAAGTACTCACGTCAATCTGTCCCCTGTCATTTCTGGGCCTGCCAGGCTCTGGAGCCTCTTGAGTTAGACCCACATTTGGGTCACCCCCGCACCCCCACTATCCTCCCACTGGGCCCCCTGGCAAGCTAGAGAACCGAGCAGTTACAGCCAGAACCCAAAGGGGGAAAACCAGCCTAAATCTGCCGGCTCCAGTCACACACTCAAGTCATGTGGCCACACACGACGTGCCACGTATCTACTGCTGTGTACCAGGCTACTTCCAAACTTCGTGGCCCCGAGCAACAATGGACCATCCTTCCCCGTGCTTCTGGGAGCTGCCTGGGCCCGGCAGGGCTCTTGCTTGCAGTCTCTCCTGTAGTTGTGCTCAGATGGTGCCTGGGGCTGGAGCTGGAGCCAGACAAAGCCCAGATCAGCTGGAGGTTCGAATGCCTTCTCCCACACAGTGGGCAGTTGAGGCTGGTCGGCGGGGACCGTCCATGGGGAGGCGCCGCCTTCTTGGCTTCTCCATGTAGCACTCCCTCCCTGGACACCATGGTGGCTGAGTCCCAAGAGGGGCTGTCCTTGCATGAGAATCCCATGAGACCAAGGCAGAGGCTGCAAGGCTTCTCATCACCTAGGCTCGAGGGTCACACTGCCATTTCCATCACGTTCTGCTGCTTACGCTGGGTCAGCCTAGACTTGCTGTGGGAAGGGACCACACAGGGTGTGCATGCCAGGAGGCGGAGCGCGCCGGGGCTGGCCTCGGACACCAGCTACCCCATGAGATCGATGAAGAGCGGCGAGCCAACAGGACAGTGGGAGGCCCTCCTCCTGGGAGGCCCGTGGCGTCTGGCTGGCCGGGTTCTTGGGCTGGCAGGCACTGAGGCCTGCTTCTAACATGGGGCCCCAGGCCTGGGAGCTCCCTACGGGGGCAGCCCCGGAGAGGCTTGCCTGGCTTCCCATAGTCAACAGAAGCAGTGGGCCTCTGGGTGGCCAGGCCTCTTGCTCTAGCTGTTTCAGCTCTGCCCCCACAGAACTCCATTTACTGTAAACGCCCTGCACCACCCACACCCAAAGTGCTTTCTCTAGGGCAGTCCTGGGTGGCGGCAGATTTTGAGGAAGGAACATCTCCAAGTCTTGGTCCTTGAATCTCCTCCATCAATGGCTCAGCCCCCACCTCAGCAGCTTCTCACAAAGGCTACAGCTTCCAATGGCAACTGGAAAAAGCAGTGTGGTTGGAGGACCAAGAGATTTCGTAGGAACTTCCATTCGGATCCTCAGAGGCCACCTGGGACTGACCAACTGCTCACATTAGGAAGACGAAGTCTCCATTTCAAGTGTCATGGCTAGCAAAGCCACAAGCCAACCCTGCACCAGGGGCCGAATGCCAAGGACGTGCCAAACCCCCCAAAGGTAGGTGGGATTTGCTTTCATTTTTCTGTCTTCAAATATGCTGCTCTACTTGGCACACTGGCCCTGGAGGAGAGGGGGTGGCTCCCCCGTAGCCTGCAGTTATGGAATAAGAATGATCTAGCTGAAGCCTCTTTAACGACAGGACAGTTAGGGCAGCA